TCAGAGGCTGCAGACCATCCAACAGCTGTTCCTGAGAAATGTGTGTCTTTCAATGCCCCAAAGACTGCGAGCATGTGTTGCAGCGCACGGTGGACACACACGATATTGACTGCAAGTGACCCCTCCTTTGTTTGATGTCGTTGTTGCGTCACTGATGTTGTTGTTGACTGGACATTTTCAGATGAAATTATTCACAGATGTTCACTTAAAACAAATCTGCCAGTTAGGTTTATATATGTTGAAATTAGTGTGAGTAAAGACAGTATGAATGTCAAATTGCATTTTTAATGGCTTTCAGTATATATTGTCTTCTATAGTTAAACTGTTTTAGATTTCATTACTAGTTTTAAATTCGAATCTGTGATAATCTAGTTATTTTACTGTCCTTCGTTGACAGGTTTTTACAATTTACCATTAATTACTATGTATAAAATTAATTGTTCACGATATAGCTGAAATATTGCCGATGTAACGATAAATGTTAACTCACTCACTCACTTTACTCAAGTGTGAATCGTGAGTACACATATCAGAAGAATGAGTGAGTTTTAGTTTTACGCCGCTTTTAGCAATATTCAAGCATTGTACCATGCCCTGGCCACGGTCCCTTTGATCTTGCCCGTCGTCAATCTATATAGTTACACTACGGCTTGAAGTAACCTTGTCCCACTACAGGTTAGCAAGCCATGCCTACTGTTCCCACGTACATAAAACAGTCTCAATCGAATGTAAACCTTGTATTAGTTACTTCATTCTTCAAATAAAGCTCATGTCTACATCATAATTTTTCATGACCTGTGTAAGTGTACAGTTTGTAAGTTCAGGAAACATTGCACCTCCGTCCGTGTTCGATAATGACAACTGAGTCCCATCTAACACGGCCCATTGAGTTTCCATAACCTCAGCACCTTGCGAAAAAATTGTGACTTCTATTGTATCATCCCATTCCAGTCTATTACTTTCAACTTCGTCAATTATTTGTGACAATGTAAGGTCGTCTATGGTGTCATGCCAATCGTAACTTGACATAGCGGCGGTGTGAAACAGAATGATTTCAAATTCAAACACCCCGCGCAGATTTTGAAAACACGGAATGTGGGCATGGTACGAAGCAGTTACGCTATCCAATCACTCGAGGTTTGTCCAGATAAACGATGGGCAAGCCGGGGTTGATTGACAGCAGAATATGTGTCTCGGGCTACGCCCTCGACATGTTCAACACCGGCTCGCCCATCGTCTATCTGGACAAACCTCTCGTTTTTAGATAGCGTAACTACTACATATACACCAGAAACGGGCTTTACACAATGTATCCATGTGGGGAATCGAACCGGGTCTTCGGCGTGACGAAGCTAACCCACCGCCCACATATCGGAAGAAATAAGTATGCACAAATGTTCTTTTCAAAACAAACCCAAAATGACTTGTCACAGTGGACATAAATTCACAACATTAACATGACTAAGATATGGAGTCAGTTTTTGTTTCTAGAACGACAGTTTGCAACGCCGAACAACACTGACCATACTCCAGTGTTTCCATTCCATTCCATTCATTCATTACGTTGGAGGTTATATTCTTAAAGTATAATTACATTAACAATTACGCATATTTGTTTTATTTCTTAGAGAGTGGGCACCTGTTTGAGGCCAGACTCCGCGTGGGGACCAATCTCGAGGAAGCACCGTGCTGAATACTCCAAGCCTGTGGAGGGGTCGGACTGGAGAAACTCCTTCAGGATATATAAATGGTAGCGGAGACCCATGCTGCTGTAGAGGAATAGGATATATGGAATGGAAGCGTGGGATACGAGGTGCTGCGGTAACAAAGCCTTTGGAGTTAGGAAAATGATCACTTTTAGGATATGTGAATGCTAGCGTGGAATACATTGAAAGTCCTGATTTCACGAAAAGGTGTCAGAGCCTAGCATTTCCTTCAGGAACAATTGGTCCTTGATCAAGTATAGACACATCAACACACGTTGCTGGAATTGTATAACCAGAGAGTATGTTATAGTTAATGTTGGAGAGACTTCTAAATATCTTGTATCATTTTGGCCTTTGTTCTTTAATTTGCGTTTATGTTGACGTTTTGCAATACAAAAGGATACAACTATATAACACCCGAAAGCCGAAAAGGAGGATTTTCTAAATTGTCAAAAAATATCAATAGTTATGTTATTCCTGTATGTTATTCCTGAACAGTTGTTCTTGTATGCATTGACGGGTTTTGAAGTGACAATTAAATTTTGTAACTGAATATTCTATGAAAAGAGTTGAATTTTGGCCGAATCGACAATGTCAGTCTCTGGACCAGTATGTTGCAAAGAACTAATTATAAAGATCCGTCAAATGTTATAATTACCAGTTCGCAATTTGAGACCTTAGACGCTCGAGACTCTAACACCGGAAGTGCAGTTTTACTTATAGAGGAAATCTATATTGTCTATGTAAACTCAGATTTCATTGATTGAGACAATAAGCTTAATCTTTGACTTATATATGTTAGTAATGAGCGTGGCCTGACATACATGACTATGAACTGAAATTGAACCTATTGGTCATAAATTACCTAATACTGCTGAAACAAATATATGCACATGATAAAGTCACAACTGTACAATCGACTCTGCTTTTAGCAGAGATTTCTTATGAACGTGGAAAGGGTTTTGTCAATTTTATCTATTGGTATGATGGCAGCATTGCAATATGGACCTCGATATCAAATCTTTATATATGCTCCAGATCATTTTCAAATAGATCATGTTTTAGGAACTTGTATTTTTCTACAAAAATGGATCCTATAACGGTGTCATCGCTTTGTCCATTTTGGCCTGTGTGTTAAAGTTTCATTTAAATTTCATATATGAGATTCTATTGTGTGTATTAATGACCCCTGTCGCTTCATCACGACAAAGATGGCCGAAACAGCAGGAAGGGTGGTTATCATCATCGCGATAGTCTCGAGTGAGTGAGTACACGCTGGTTCAAGCCGCATCAGTAGTTTGTCGGCTATTTGCGGCTAGAAAACACATTTCGTATCCTCGACACGTTAGGTGCACTTCTTGTAGGTGAGAGACTCGTCAAGTACAAAAGAGGGTAGGGTAGGGCAGTAAGGTTTGGGTACTTGATAGCTATTTTGTTTAGATGTTTGCCAATACGATAAATAATAATCGATACAGATTCTTGTACAACTAATGCTTGACAACGGTACAAGAATCTGAATCAAAACGCCCCACTTGCGAAATAAAATACATTCTTGTCCATAAGGTTTGTTATTATTGTTCTTCTAAAATGCCACTCAAAGGGAAAAATGATAATTAATGTAACAAATATTGACCTCATCTTCAGTGGACTACCAGAAAGAATTCTCCCGCGATACATATTTAAAGCAAGCTTGAGAGGATTTACTTGCTATTCTCACTTGGTAAACGCCCGGTTGTCAGTTGTCTTTTCCCCATCGGATGTTAGTGTCTATGGTCACTTCCAATACACAATGGATAAGTCGCACGAGTGCTGGAAGAGATTTATTGCGGTTTTCCCAAACGGATACAAAACTAAACAGAAACAAATAATCAAATCAAACTGCAGGAGGCACTTTCACTATATTTTTTTCTTCTGAGAGAATATTTCATTAGTTGTAAGTCCCCTGCCATGCAAGATACGTGCTCATGTATACTTCAAGGGAGACGACCGTCCAATTACAGTGTTCTGCACCGCAACTCCGGGTCCACAAATGTAAGCACTCTCCTGGCACCAGGCACATAATCTGCCCATCAATAATTAATGAGCGTGTTTGTCTAACGTTGCGCTCTATTTGGACTTCCTCTCTGTTGGCACTCCAGAAACAAATCGTAATTCCAATATCTACGAAATAAGGGTTGGCGGATCTGTTTTTTAAAAGAGTATATTATGACGCTCAGGTTACTTTCTGAAAAATGTGTAGGTATACTACGAAACATGCATGTTTGCTGTTACTTGAGTGAGTTATTATTTAACGTCACATAGGCAATATTTCAGCCATATCGTGACGAGAACATATGTGACATTGAAATGGAATAGATGTATATTATAAAAACCTGTCTACGAAGGACTTGCTGTTACTTGTATATACCCAAATCCTAATTTCACTGTCCTGTGTTAGACAATAGATCTCCCAGCCCAGATACTTCATTTTACTTTACGATGTAGTAAATGTATTCGAACATTTCGAATTACATTTGGAGAGCGCGATGGGCGAGGTGGCTAAGGCGCCAGGCTAGTGATCCAGCGAGGTTGAGGAGACGGGATCGAGCCCACCTGTGACCGGGTGTAAAATCCTTGGAGTCAACTTTGTGTGCAGACTCTTTCGGTGTTGTCACAACCCCTAGTGTACAGTACACAACCCTGTGCACTTAAAACAACCCACGAATCCGTTGGTATATGACCAGATGGTGGCCACATGAATACGTGCAAACACCTAGTTGCGGGTACAGCAACGTGCAGTGAACTTGGACAAAGTACTGTGACTATGTGTCCCAGTCCACCGAGCTGTGTGTGGGTACCTCGTTAGGATGAGAAAGCCACAATAACTCGGAGCTCCTAGTGGCTGCAAACGTTGTATACTCCCCAGGGAGTTGAGATTGATAATACGATGTGCTGTTGAGGTTGACATCCAATGATCGAGGGAAAGAAGTACCAGCGCCTTGAGCATGCCCTAGTTGCCTGGATATGTGCGCTATATAAATATCCTATAATATTAATAATAATAATAAAAAGATAAAGATTTGTACTTTGCGGCGTTTATGTAGTGAAGCCGTCGGGATTGACTGGGGTGATGCCAGACATTCACCATTAGTACCATGGTAAAGAGTTGTTTTGTAACCACTGCTACAGGATTCCGACTATCATGGTCATAGTGAATGGCAATGTAACGACACAGCAACCATTTCCTTAAACCTTGGATTTGAAAATCTATATAACAGCATTCCAACATCTGGCTAGTCACACTGAAACGGTCTCAGACAATGCATGTCAATGACAAAAATTATCATTTGAAACATATAACACTCCCAGTAATATATATTAACATTACACATGAAATATTCACACAAAGACTAGGAGGCTGTGAGTTAATAAACATGGTATATGAGAGTAATATCCATGTTTAACTGCACACAGTGGGCTGGCAATATAAACTTGTCAGCAGAAGTATAAACAAACAGCCAAACAAACAAACAAACACAAACACACACGTGAATTTGTGAAAGTCGCAATGGACTACCGAGAATCATCGATGGCACCAGTGTAAGGAAATCAGTTGTAAGGATATAAAGTGTAAGAATATCAGGTGTAAGAATATCATGTGTCTGACGTTTTTGATAATTGGTGGTGACTCATACACATTTGTTAAGGTGATAACTGTGTAGTTTCGATAGTCATCAGAGATCGCAAGAACATATAAGTTCGTTCCAGTCGATGCAAACAGAAATTGTAAGATGGGTATTGGCTTAGACCTGTTGAATGCATCGCGGCATGAATCCCGATTCGTACGTGTAGTAAAGTAAGGTGATCCAAAACGTTGGGCTACGATACATCTCCCAGAAACAGGCTTGTGTATTAAAAAAATGCCCGACTGCATATAACAGATAACAAAAACTAACAGTGTGTGCACAGTATCGAATGGAGACAAAAAGTAGGATGGATAAGGGACGGCGTTCTTTGAGTAGACACATCACAAAACTTCAACAGCGCAAAGACGCTGTATATGTTTATAAGAATAATCCAAAGGAACACGTGGAGCATGCACATTTATAGAAGTGACAGGTGAAGATCTTGGAGGACTTTTCATTAAATGACTCGGAAGTAGCCACAGCTATGTTGTAGCTCTTGTTTACACACGTGCTGAGAGGAATACATCACTACGATCAAACCACCCAAACGTTGTTTCCATACACAATCACATTTTACAAAACTCTTTCAATAGTCATGTGATTCACGACCCGTTTTCGTTCACGTGAACATTGCTCACCTTTGCAAGTGAGGCAGAATATGTTAAACGTTTAGCGAACACCTGGTATCATGACTAAATCATAATGATTCATAGCCATGTAATCAGCATCGAGCCCCAATAGTACAAAATATATTTCTTATGTCTGGAAAGGATTCTGTCGTTTCTATTTACGCTCCCATCAGTAATTGTATATATGATATCTTCAATATTTTTAAATCACTTACAAGAATATTATTCATTGAAAAAGAAATAGAATTCACCAATGACAAACAATGACTTATGCAGAATTTACCGGCTCGGTCAAGTTACATCATGTTGTAATTTATATAACAATATATCGTTATAACAAGACTGATTATGTACTTCCAAAGGATTTGAGGGTATAGACATTGGAGCCTGCTTCAGTTGCAAGTGATGGAACACACTTGTCGGTCAGTTTGCAGGTGCCCGTAGCGGAGATGCTGAACCCAATGCATGCAGTGGTACAGAGACACTTGTGGTTGCACTCCTTCTTCGTCATCCCTGCTCCACTGAAGATGACATCTCCAGCGTCGTTGATCATCTTCCCTGCACCAGACAGATGAAACACAAATGGCTGGAACGCTCCGGACACTGCCGGTCGACTTTGAGCAGCACAAGCGGGTTCCCCTGAAACAGGATGGCCACAGGGTAAGGTATGGAATCGGGTTTAGAGGAATTACAGTTACATAAAGCGTGTCGGTACATTGTGGGAGCGAAGTAGAAACTGGCACATGTCAGACTTTTTAACTGTTTTGGTGATATCTGAAATAAAATGTTTTGATTGCCCAGAATCTGAGATTTGCATTCATTACCATCAACGTTGAGTTGTTGACAGCACGGCATTCTTCTTACTGAAGACGACTAAACAAGACCATGAAGATATGTTTATACTGCCATTTATGTCGTCTTGCTGCCAATTTCTATAAACTTCTGCGAAGTATAATTAACTATTAAGCGTTGCAAAAATGAGAAAGCATTTTGCCAGATATATGACATATGTATACAGTTTTCGATGGTATACTTGAATTGTAGTGAAAAACACGTTAGTGGGCTAACAAACACATTTAAAAAAAATCTAAATGAAATCAAAGCTCAACGGGATCCTCATTAAGATTACAACAAGCATGGTAAATGAATTATTTCTACATCCTTACCGCAGGTCTGGAGAGTGTTCACAGTCAGATTATTGGTTGTAGAGTCTGGAAGAATATAATCAATTTGTACATTTCAATGTGGCATTGTATAATTGTATGCAAAGCATCGCCATACGTTGAAAGTAAGAATAACATTGAATTGTTACGATGTACACTTGGTAGATGTAGATTTCCAGTTTTACTCAGTATTACCAAGCGACGTTAAACTATTCACTAGAATATGCACAGTCTCGCCTATGCTGATGATGCAACGCTGCAATATATTAAAGCAAACGAGTCATGTAAATGACAGAATCATCAGGAACCATTTTCTCAACAAATTAAAAAAATTGTGTCGGAGACATCCAACTCAAATAAATTGTGTCAGAGCCATCGAACTCGCCGACAAAATCTTCTTAAATGGTTTTACAATTATATGCAATGTATATAAGGATTCTTGTCAAAGAAAATATCATGGGAACTTGCGAGACACTTGATTTGCACTAAACGCGTATCCGGTAACAGTTTATTGAATTGGATTCCTTATACAATAAGGAGTTTAATGTCGAGCATCCTTCAAAGACAGGTTTGTTCTCTTTCTCCATATTGAGCTCAGTCTATTTCCGTATTTCATAAAGACATTTGTGATAAAGTTTGTCTAAATTAAGAACATGTCAACAGACATCCATGACGACATTCTCCAAACTGTTAGTCGTGATATACAATCTGCAATTGCATGTTCGAATAATGTCCAACGGAACACAACACCATCTCTTTGGTGACGTCATCTCCTACACAACAACTATTATATTCCGAGACTATCATATTCTGTTGTTGCATCTACAGGAATCGATATCAAACAGATACATTAGCTTGGAGTTTTGCTAGGTTGAGACCAATCAGCAACAGAACAAAACAGGTTTAGGAGGAGCGCAAAATCCTATCCCAAGATCCAGCGACACTACCAACTTTGCTTCTTAGCCAAGCTTGGTGTAGACAGCGTCTGATGTTTAGAAGACACGATTGTGACAGAATACTGTCCACAGATGAGTACAGACTTAGTCTGGTAGTCGTCCAAGGGAAAGTAACATCACGCTGCTGCAGGATAATGCCAAGTCCTGATGTAACATATCTTTTGAGGCAGCTGAACACCTCTTTGAGTGGTATTTTTTGAGATAGGAGATCCAGATAAGAACAAACTTTATGCATGAACAACTTCTTGATTCAGGTGGTGCGACGTTTCGATACTTATTCTTGTATCGTTGCCAAGGATATCTGTTTGACAACGATACATGTACCTGAATAAAGAAGTTGTTCACTCATAAAGTTTGTCCTTATCCAGCTGAACACTGATGTACCCGTCACCGCCTACTGTGTCCTCAGAACCTCATGTTCGGGATGAAATGGATGACGCTTCGACAGGACCAGAACCAGCCGATAACGCAAGCACAGTGGGATCAATCTTTGACATTTGGAATAACTCCCCCAGGCTGCTGGTAATCAACTGGTATCTGGCTGCCTTGTCGGTATGACAGCAAATAGTGGTCACACTTTAAATGACTCCTCTTTTAACCAGTGTCACTCTGTCCCTGTTAACATATACGGATTTTATTTTATGTTATTTTTGTTAAATACTGACCATACGAATGATCAAATATTTTTCTGTCACTTTTAATAACATCAACATTAACGTCGCTTTCTATGACTTACAGTTGCTTTTGTCTGTCAGTATGTATGTGGGTACCATTTGCTAGTCACCAGATCGTATGACAAGGCACGCTTGCACTTATGCTGATCATCCAATCGAGCGATGTAAACTAGAAGCCGACAGATGGAAGTTTAATGAGGACATTTAATTGGAACTAACTGAAACTATGCATATTTCTTAACACAACTCACCAAAACGCATGGAGACGACAGTTGATCCGTCTGATGCCCCGATAGTAAAGTACTTGATCTGAATGATATCCGGGTCCATCCAGCTGAGCACCTGCTGGTCACCGATAACTGTCCCTTTGCCCATCTTGATGGTGCACTGGTCCCAGCTGAGCCAGTAGGGGTGAAAGGTCCAGACGCAAGTGAAGAAGGAACCGCCCTGATTCACCTCACCCTCCGATGTCCCTGGGCAACCAGAGCATTTTTTCCTGACTGCTGAGAAATACTGGCCCCCGGTTTCTTTATTCAAATCGATGTTGTAGCCATTGGACTTTGACTTGGTTGGCCCCCACAGACCAAACTGTATGTTCTTACATCCTTTCAGTTCAACCTTTACTGACCAGTGGCCGATGATGTTGAGGCCGTAGGGGTCTGCCCAGTTGTTGTATGATGCCGTATTTATCTGACCTAAATATACAAACATATGTTTCAGTGAGCCTCCGCCCAGTAAGGTTATTGTATGTAGGCCCAACGGGTCTAAACACAGATCGCCTTTATGTATACCACTCACACTTTGCTAAGGATCACAAAAATTCTTTACTCAAACGTAGATTTATGATTTGAAATTGTATCATTTTAAAAGTGGATGAATAGTGGTATGGTAACACATCTTTAGGAAAACAGCCACTTTAAGCTAACCTTATGCATTTGATACATGAGTAACCATAAAAATGGTTTTCATGGCCCTAACCGACCATTTTGCAAATCATGGCACGGGTCATTGACAAGTGCAAAACATCTGTCAATAGCAGGTAGGGGATTCACAAGATGCAGTGACATACTGAAACTTGGATCCATGCTTACAATAGGCTTAGATATTTAAACAAAATTTGACCCCACATCACAGTTTTCTATTGCATCAATGATTTGATCCTTAGCAAAGTGTGGATATGTGTAACCTGTGCACTTAAATGAAGTAAAGACACAGTGTACTTGCTGTTTAATTCCTCACCTAGCTGTAATATTGCCGAGTGTGGCGTAAAACTAAACTCACTCACTATTCCCTCAACTACGCGGTGTAGTGATTAGAGCAACCACCCGGAGAGCGGAAGGTCGCGGGTTCGATCCCCGGCCGTGTCATACCAAAAGACGTTAAAATATGGTACTTGTTGTTCCCTGCCTGGCGGTCGGTGGTACAACAAGGACTGATCGGCTCGGAGTCAGTATAATGTGTCTGAGTGGGGTATTCATACTTAACTGCGGCATGGTATCTTAGCTTAGATCTGGGCTAGTACAAGCATACACTTGTACACACGCATGCACGTCGTCATATGAGCGAAATATTCTTAAGAACGACGTTAAACCCCATTTCACCTCACCTCACCTCACCTCACCTCACCTAAAGTAACATGATCATACGTTAATAGTCATCACGTTGACATGTTTTACTTTAAGAAATTAAATGTTCTCACTGTAGCCATTAGACTGTGACTTGGTCGGCCCCCACAGACCAAACTGTATGTTCTAACATCCTTTCAGTTCAACTTTCAATGACCAGTGACCGATGATTTTGAGCCTTTCGCTTGTTGCTCATGTATTTGCCCTTGTATTTGTCTGACGAACTACTAATATCAATGACCGGGTTTGAAATCCACTTTGTACATTAGTATCATGTACATCGGAACGGAGAACAGATATCAGTTATTTATTCAATCAACCACAACCAAAAGAACATAACACGCTTGTTCGAAAGACAAAATGTTGACTTTTCTAAGATCAATAACTGTTTCCATAATCGAGTGAGTGAGTGAGTTAAGATTTTAAGTCACATCGGCAGTATTTCAGTCAAGTTATAAATATAAGTAGTATATACAATGGGGGGTTCTGGACCACTTTCAACCAAAGCCTCTGCAAAGCCTTATTTCACAAGTAAGGCTTTGGTCGGGCCCTTAGCTCTTGCTACCATTACCCCTACTATGAAAAAGTTTGGGACGATAGCGGGACCTCCTAGCCGCACCGGGGTATGGCTGGAGTGTGTTGGTATCCTGGGGCACCGCTATGCCGTGTTGACCGGAGGTAACACTGTGCCGTACGGTACGATCAATAATTCCGCTCTTACAAACCCCCTACCTGGCCCATCCCTCAAGTAGTACAAGTTAGGCTCGTCGGCTTTCATGTCAACTTTATCTATGTTGTAAGTTTTGATTGACCATATAGGATCGGTGGCTCGCTTACGGCTATCACCCTCGTGTTCCCCCCGGCTGGTATAGATACCTTACTAGGGCCCTATCTGGTATCTGTTTCTCCTTCCCACGCAATGGAGCAGCCGACTCTGCCACTATTGATTTTAGTTTGATAGCGTCTGCCGGTTTCTTGCCGATGAGACGGGTGACTTCATGGTTGATTGCCGACACCACCTTAGGGAGCCGTGATACCCATTCAGTCGATCGTTTTCCCGGGGTGGCCATCTCCCTAGCATACTGATGCCCAAATAAGCGCTCAGCCAAAGTCCTATTGAATCTCTCAACTATGGCTTGGCTGCGATGGGCTCCAGCCGTGCCACGCCTGACCTTTGTATCGTGTTTGGTTAGCAGTTGTGACACGGCGGCCCATGAACTCCCGCCCGGGGTCAACTTGCAGCTCTGTTGGCCACGTCAGCGGACTGCGTTTGTATATGCGTTCGAATCCTCTGGCTACCTGGGCAGAATCTTTCGTGGTCAAGGGTTCGGCTTCCTTGTAGCGACTGGCTACGTCCACTACGGTTAAGGCATACTTGTACCTCTTGTCGTGGGGTAGGAACAGTAGGTCTGCCTGGTGAACGCTATTAGGTATGTTAATACCGAACCTTGTTTTTCAAGCCATGCTTTGGCTTCCTCCGGGGGGTACTCGCGCCATTTTAGCCAGCTTATCTACAGCGCTAGCTCCTTTCCAGTACCCACGTGGGCTATAGTAAATAGCCTCAAACTTTCTCTGGTTCCGTTCTTGGTTCAATTTTCTCATGCCCGTACGCGTACGTGTTGATCCCATCAATAGCTATCCAACGTTTAGTGTCCATAGGCGACAGGGACGTCTTGTTTATTGTCAGTCCGTATATCCTATGGCCATCACTTCTAAGTGTGTTCATTTTATGCCTAAATGTACGGGTCTTGAACAGGGCTTCCTTGAATCTGGCGTGTTTGATGTGTTGTTTAACCACGTACTTCTTAACACCCTTAGCCTTCCGGATCTCACCATTGTCAGCTTTCAGTATGGAGTACATCTTAGGCCTCAAACCTATGTACTCGGCTATGGGTGTGGCGGCACACTCGTCCTTCATCTTACCCAGGACCTTTTTATTTACCGTACTGTGTATGGCATGGTCCTTGGGGTAGTCGCTGGTGTCATACAAATCGAGGTGTTTTTTCATGTCCTCGTACACGTCCTCGGTTCGAATCTCCATCAGCAGGGAATCTGTATCAGTGTACAGCACTTCACACCTGTCGTCGTACTGTTTCTTAAGCTCGTTGTAGTAAAAGTCGTACATCAGGTGTTTGGATAAATCGAGGATGCTCATCCCCACGTAAACAGGCCGGTTGAATTTTATGTGGCTTTTCTTCATGTGTAGGGCAACTAGGTCATCGGTGAATATCTTGCTACGGTTGAATGCCGGACTAGCTATCAGTCTCCTGAGCTTGTCGTCCTCATTCCACCGAACCAGCTTCACGGTCACGCGTTTCCTAAGGTTCTCCATAGTCTTACCAAACACCGAGTTGTTCATGAGCTTGTAGAGATTTTTCTCAAAGTCACTGGTGGCAAGCTTTCGGAGGTCTGTGTTCATTCTGATGTAAGGCTCCATCCATGGGCTCTGGTTGAACACGAGCAGCCTGTGTATTTTGGTCAGCCTCATACCCAACGACAGGTACAGCTGTAGGTTGCGATAGTGAACTATGTACTTGGTCTTATTCATTAAGTTAGGCACGAGTTTTTCAACGTCTGCCACCCGCCCACCTAACAAGTTATGTTGGTACTCAGACATCCAGTCTGGGTTAACCCTCATACGTTCGGGGGCCAGGGGGTAGCTGTTGTGTGATGTGTGTAATGCCTTGGGGTATTCTAAGTCCACTTCGAGGATATAGCCTTTGTTCGAATCTGGTGCGATGCTCATAACATCAATGGGTGAGGCCCATTCGAATACCCCTGTGGGTAGATACTGGCTCATGGCCCAGCCGTACAGGTTGTTGGCGTCGAGGTAGAGAATGTGATTGGTTGGCTTGCTCGGGTCGTAGCCCTTCACGTATTGATTATTTGCTCTCGCGTATCGTTTTGTTGCCATGGAGATCCCACCTCGCAAGCCTTTCTCAATGAATAGGTGCATGTCATAATCTGTAAGCAATTCCAACTTAACTCCGGTCTTTTTTAAGCAAGGCATCCCACGACAGACCTGGGCTGGTGTAATACCATGCGGGGTCGAGTTTATACTGCTTGAAACATGTCCGCCTAAACGTCTCAAACACGTCGGCTAACAGCAGTACATCTGTCCTCAAGTACAGGTCGTGGTAGTCACCCAGATTCTCACAACCCAGTTTATCCCATACGTTAATCGCGTGCGAGTAATCGTCTTGGGATATTTCCGAGTCTGTCAGATTGCTGTAAAATTCTCTGATGGGGGGGTAGTCTGGTCTCGGCGAACTTGGCCCAACTATCCATGTACTCATAGGGGTACACACCCTTCCTCATAAGCAGGGGTCTAGTCTCGGCGTCTGTGTATCGATCGGTAATAGGGAAGGTATCATTGGCCTTGACCAGACTGTCGAGTGAGGACAGTAGGAATTGAATCGAGTCGATGAACCTAAGGCCGTTTAAGCTGAAGGAGATGTATCTCTCCATGTTGTTGGGGATGCACGTTATATTACCATCGATTTTCGCGATGGCCTGCATGATTAAGTGAGAGTCGTACCCTCTCAAGTTGTGAAAGACAACGGGGATGTTTATTGTCTTAGGGTTGATTCTAAGCTTAAGGTTACACGCTCTGTGAGCTGTGAGCGGCGCCTCTATACCTACCGGTTACGTGGCAGTGATCTCTCACCGAATCACCGTTCAGTGGTGAGTCACACACGTGACAATTAGTACTACAGGCATGAGCTAGTCGGTCGGCTCGGGTCATACGCATGGGAGCGACTCTATACAGCGCATTCCTAATAATTTTTTCTTCCTCCTGCAAACACTTAAGAAACCTTTCAGCCGCGTCGGGACCCCTATACACTACCGGAGCTTTCGTTTCCCCGTCACAACGGACTACAACGTATCCAAACCCACAGGCTTCATGCTCTTGTGTTTTGAGTGTGGTTGGGGTACCCCCAACAACCCTGCCTGTGGGTAGAGCATTGGGAGTACCCCCAACAGCCTCAACAGGTTTAACCAAGGCTTCAAAGTCGGCGTATATGATATAAGGCACAGACATTTGGTTCTTGTGGTTGCCGAATTTTAGG